GATTGTGACCAGAAGAATGATAGGAACATTATTGCTATACAGGATTCAGTTTTAAGATTAAACATATTAAAGCATCCAAATTTGGGATTGAAACGTTTATGGACTTACATATTCCATGTGATATAGTTCATTATATATTTATTATTATGACTGGCTTTTTTTTCGTTTATTAATGTATGTATATCTGCTGCGTGCACGCGAGCGTGCGTGCGTGCGTGCGCATGTATGTATGTATCTGTATGTGCGTACGTGCGTGTGTACAATGCGGTGCAATGATTCGCGGGGTCATAGTAGCACGTAACATTACTGACATTGAATCGATAATCGTGTGTGTGCGAATTTTATTAAAATATCAGCAATTATAAAAATAATAGATAATGTCTTTTTAGGATTCTATTTTTTCTTTTCAGTAAAATTTAAATATTTAAAATTTAAATATTTTTATTATTATTTATTTCTTGTATTGTACCTCTCGGAGCAACAAGGAAAAAATTTGGGATTCGGTCCGCCTGAAGGGTTGGAAGCCACGAGGAGCGCTGGTAGGAGTACACGAAAAAGTGCAGTAACACTCACTATTCTTGTAAATGCCTTTATTTTCCTGTTATTGCAAATTATTTCTTATAATAATTATAACTTTCCGTAGATAATATATTGCGTTTCCGCACTCGCAATAAAGTATAATTTCAATCGAGACGATATGTCAGAAATTTAGAAATAAACTCCCGCGATCGGTGACTAGTCAGGAATTTTTATAATATCCGCGGTTTCGAATAACTTCGCGCTAAAGCCCTTCGGACCATATATGCAGGATAAAATGCAGCGAGCGACCTTCTTTCGCACGCTATTCAGGAATTCGCAAACTTGCATTTCCGGCATAGCGCGGACAAAGTTAAAAATTATTCGACACGAAGACCCAGTCTGCCGATGGAAGCCTCTATTGTCTATTTGTTGAAACATATATCGGTTATAATTATCATTATTGTTATTCTTCACGCGGCACTTAAGCGTTCTTTCAAAATTATTTATCCGGTTATTGCAATAAATACCACGTGCCTTAGTGGTCGAATGGATAAGACACTCGCGCGAGCGATCCAGGTTTGATTTCTGGCTGGGGTAATATTTTTCCCAATAAAAATAATTTCCAATAATCAGGGATTAATCGATTTCAAATTGATTGTCGATTTAATAGGGAAGGGGTAAAATTTAGATTTAACTTTGAGTAGATTACGTTGCAAGATCGTTAAAAATTAGCGACACGTAGTTCGCGATAAGCATTGTCTTGAAATTTAGAAAAATAAAAAATTGTTCGATACGAAAACCCAGTCTGTCAATGGAAGCCTCTATTATCTATTTGTTGAAAAATATTTAAATTTTACTAAAAAAAAAAAAAATAGAATTCTAAAAGAATAAAACTCTAAACTCTAAACTTTATCTATTATTTTTATAATTGTTGATATTTTAATAAAATTCGCGTGCACGTGGTTATCGACTTAATATCGATAATGTTACGCGCTACTGTGACCCCGCGAATCATTGCACCGCATTATACATACCACATACATACACCACACAGACACATATACACACACCTGTGTCATGTAGTTTTGATAATTGTTTTTCTTACATAACTCTTTTTAATTGTTATATAAACATAATTTTTTTCAGTTGGTGGCATTTATACTGTAATAAGATCTAAAGCGTATGTTTCAACTGAAGAAATGGGCGATCAATATTGTCTTATTGGTCCATATAAAGAACATTCAGCGCGTACTGAGGTTGAAGAAGCAGATTTTCCTCTTCATAATCCTTTGCATCAAGCGGTACAAGTTTTACGTAATCAAGGATATAAAGTAAATTTTATTTTAAATTGCAAACTTAAAATTTAAAATTGTTACTAATCCTAAATTAGTCATTAGAAACTAAATATTTTTTTGTTAATAATATATTCGGGATTGTTTTTATACTTTAAGAATAATAAGTTCATCACGAATATATGTAATCTATATGTGCGCGCTTTTTTTTTTCTTTTTGACTTCTAGGTAGTATTACAATCTGACATTCAAGCATTCAGTAATAGATTGAAGGTATAAATTGACTTGCCCGCTGCGTGCCCAATGACATGTCCCTTGGTTATTGTCGTACTATGTTAATGCCCCTTTTGTTTATGCTACTACTCTATTTGGTAACAAGTCAGTAGGCACTTTAGTTTATAATGTTTCTCCTTTGCTACCATGAGATTTGAAACCAGATTATTTGAATGGACATCAAGCCTGATCTTGTGGTTTTGTGCCATTTTGATTATTTTTTCTCTGACTGTAGCTATGCTTAAGTCATAATGTAACATTTCATTAGTGACATGGGACTCCATCATAATTCTTAGTATTTTGGATTGGAAATCTTTGGATCTCCATATTTGAATATTGGCTGCTGTAATCCATAAGTCCAAACAAGTTTTATAATACATTTAAGTATAATAAAATCTTACTTTTAATTGATAATTGTAATTTACGGCCCAGTATTCAATACATTGTCCTCAGTTGCTGGCCTAATTGTTTACGCTTAGTGTGAATGTATTTTTTCCATGTCAGTCTCTTGTCCAGGTGTATTTTCAGATATTTAGCTTCATTTGCGGGATTTCTCCATTAATATAGATGGGAGGACATGTTTTAAACTTGATGATAAATGTAACCTATATGGATTTTGCTTCACTTACCTTGATTCTCCATTTTTTTAACTATTTATCAATTGAATTTAAGCTATTCTGAAGCATTTTGGATGCTGTCACATGATCATGATGGATTGTAAGCACTGCAGTGTTATCAGCGAATGTATCCATCATTGAGCCAATTTGAGTTAGTAGATCAATTATGTATAGCAAATATAGTATTACTGTAAAATATAACTTCGGACAGAACGATTTTTTTATTTTTCCTGCAATGTCTTCAATATTTCGCGTACCGATCATGTGTTATGGATTAAGTTTTAAAGTTTGATTGTCTGATTTCAATTTTATACTTTTTTTAATCACTGACTATTAATCTCATTTATTATGTATTGAAAATATACGAGGTTCTTCAGTATTAGTTCGGAGCTTTTTGCACATTTTTGTATCACTTCCATTCAGTCGTGCAACTGTGCTATGGACAGCGATTCATATCTGGAATGTACAATGAGTTTCCAAAGGATTATAGCATTAAAAATTCTTATTCTACAACCATACAACGGTATTATTCAAAGAGTTCGTACTGAAGATGGCTCAAATATGAACTGAAACGTATACTTTGTAACTTTATACTAATAATTAAATCTCTCGTCACAAAACCTGCGTCTGACTCTCAATTTCCTAATTTGTCATGTTATTTCCTAATTTGTAAATATAATATTGGATCAAGCACGCTTCCTTGTAGCACTTCTGCCTGGATTTTGGGTAGTTTTGTAGTGGCATTTTCATACTTAACTAGGAAGTGCCGATCACTTAGATAAGATTTGGGGAATACATAGTAGCTGTGGGGAAAGTTTAATTTTATTTTATGGAATAGCCATCATGCCAAACCTTATCGAAAGTCTGACACATCTAAAAAGATCGCCGAACAATATTTTCTTGTTTTGAACGAACTATGTATTTTTTTCTATTGTCCTATGTGCCTGATCAATTGTGCTATGTTTTCGTCTAAAACAAAATTGGTATTTCGGATTAATTGTTTCTCGTCTACCATTCGCATGAGTTACCGGAAACAGCCGCTCCAGGTCCTTGGACCGCAACCGGGAATAAGCTAATTGGTCTATATGATGTTACCTGCTCTGGACATTTGTCAGATTTTGGTATCATTATATCACCTGTGCTACTTTCCTGTGGCAATATGTAGCTAATTTTTAATATATTATTATATAATCAAATTAGGTATTTAATACCTTCTTTCAGTAGTTTCCTTAGAAGATGACCCGTAATTAATTCATATCCAGGCGCTTTCTTCTAGTCAATTCTACGAATATCTCTCGGCACTTGTGCTGTGAATTTTTTATAGAAAAATTAGACTGGTAAACGCTATCATAGGTACTGTTATTTACAATGTTTTCATCACTATTATCCAGTGTTTCTACAGGATTTGGTTTGAAGAAATTAGATAAATGTTTTGCGAAAGCTTCAGCCTTTTCCTTATCATTTTTGACTCAGCTGCCATCCATTTTACGTACGGGCAAAGATAACGTTTGAGATTGTCTTAGCTTTTTGGTCGCTTTCTAAAGTGAGTAATCAGTTGTTTTTGTCGCGTCAAGGCTCCTTAGATATGTTGGATATCTTTGTTTTTTTCGTCAGTTAGCATGCCTTTTTCTTTGGTAATATGATTTAGCTGTTTCTTCATCATTGGGCATCTTGTGCGTTGCTTTCTAATTTTCCCTTTTGCTTAACATTCATAGGATATTCGTAGATATTTTCATTTTCAGTGGAAGGTAGGCAAGAAGATAGGCAGAGGTGGTGCAACTCAGCAGGCGTCCGACACGGGCAATTGCATGCATCCGCGCGCACGCGCGCGTGTGTGTGATAAGATGCGAGACATGTATGTGTTGCATGTATCAATACTAGCGTGTAGCTATCAGCTGATTGTATCAAGTGCCTTACGTAATCGTCCGCATCAAATAGTGAGTTGCACCGCTCCTATCTTCTGTATACGGTCCGTAATTCGCGAACTGTTTTCTCTTATAACTCAAAAACTAAGCTTTTGATAAAAATTTAGTAGAGAAAAAATCATCTTAGAATCGACTCAGGAATGTGACATTTTAAGAACAAACGATCATCCCGTATATGCAGTCTTTATAATTTGCTGGGTGGTTATCACATATACACTTGATCCACATGTCATCCGATCCTTGTACAGCTTGGAGTCAGGCACATTTGATACACCTAGCCTTACGGTTGTAGAAATTCTTAGTGTGTTCATATCGCTGACTGATTTTACTGTAGAATTTCACGGGGCTTTTTTAGGGGTTTCAAAATACACACAATAGTATAATAGTACATGCGTGACTTTATAAATTTCTTTGTTGTGAAGTTCTAACTTTAAATCTACAATAAATATAGGAAAGGGGAGTTTAGTCACTCTCTGTTTAATGTTCTATATATTGACTATTGTGTGACCCATTGCTTCAATTCCAATCTTTATGTCTTCTATATTAGTTGAAGAGTGTATGTTCTTCAGACTTACTCTGTAGTTTGTTTTAGCTTACAAAGTGTGAAATTCTGTTCCTTTTAAAGCTCTTGAGAAGTCACCGCATATTAGAATCGTGACGTCATAGGCGAGAAATGACACAATAAAGTTTATTGCGGTATTTTTGCAAATAAAGAGCTATTTGACTAAAATAACACCTAATATGACTTTAAGACTTATGAAAATGGGCAGCTCCTATTCTTTCTCTTCCTGATAATCAATAAATAGCTGTAAAAGGCACGTGAATGAAGCCTATTCAGGCAGAAAACACACGATTTGATAGTTGTTGAAAGAAGTGGAAAAAATGTTTTTACAAGTAATGTCCGAAGATAATTTTAGCCGCTCATTTTAATCTGATAAGTATGAAACAAGTCACATCTGAACGATTAAAAACGTAATAACGAAAAAAGCCGCAGTAAAAAATTTTGTTTTCCGCATATCACTTATATGGATGAACAAGAACAAGGACAAGATGAACAAGAATGAATGAGCTTCTATTTTTCATTGCGACGGATGTTGCTACCGTCAACTCGGAGTATTCAAGAGCCTTAACCTTAATTCTTTGACTATTGTTGCGTACGCCTCTGTGTTTTTGGGTCGTATCTTATCATGTTTCGCCCGCATAATTTTTATTTCGTAAGTGTTAACGCAATTGAAGTGATTCCATGAGGGGTTATATGTTGCACACTCTAATATTGGGAGAAATTTGATTGGTTTAACTGAGTCTGCTGTCGCATTTTTGTTGTTATTTTCAAGGACTTTGTGCCTGTTCAATGTTAATACCAGTGCTCTCAGCCAGTATTCTTTAATTTTGATTTGTTTTAGTTATCTTATCGGTTTTCCAGAGCTATCCCTTGGTCTTTTTTTACCTTTTACGATTTTTCAAGAATGTTGCCCACTAATTGTACGTTGTTCAGCAACTGTTTGGTGTAGCTGTTTTCTTCGAATCTCACCGACCGAGTGGACTCGTTCTTTGCCTCCCGTTTCATACCTATTTAACAAAGATTGGCCTTTCCCAGCATTCTTAAGGCCTGCTTCTAAGGTGGATTGCCGGAGTTTGTACCCTGGGATACTTTCTTTCGTATATGTTTTACTCATTGTTCTTTGTGTTGCTAGTTTTGATTCCGGATATTTTATTTTTCTGATACCCTATGGCAAGCTGTCGAGCGTTCTCCAATCCGCCATCTGGAGAGATGCCCGATAGGGGACTAGCAACCCCACATAGGGCGCACATATATAGGATTTGTTTTAATATTACCAAATGATTTTTTTTTGTGAGACATCCGAGAAACCTTTAACTGTCCACAAAGACATAAATATTATTTGACTAGAAATAACATGCAAGGTACGTATCCAGTGTTACCTTATTAAGAAGTTATATATGTAAATATAACACATAGTCTTTTGACAGTAATGAGTGTGACTAGTTTACTGCTAAGTCGCTAAGATTCGTTTTAGTCTTCACAGGCTAGTAAACTTATTCATTAGATTGGTCGCAAGAGTGTTAAGGTGTTAAGGTGTCAATCGATCTTGGCAATTGGTACTAATTAATAATAATAATTGGTAATTGGTGTTTCTGAATTTCTTCTTTGACACTTGGTACTTGTAACTCTTCATATAGTTTTCGTTCATCATGAATCATGGAGCGTTTATGATTAGGCATAACACTTTAGATTGAAATGCCGTATGAGTTCTATGTTGGATCTTGCTGCTGAACCCCATAGCTGTATTTCGTAAGTCCAGACTAGTTTTAAGATAGCCTTGTATAATAATAGTTTATTTTCAACAGAAAGTTTTGATCTATGTTCTATTAGCCAGTGCATTTTATAAAACTTAAGCCCGAGTTGTTTACACTTAGTGAAAATATACTTTTGCCAAATCAAACACCGATCAAAGTAAATGCCCAGATATTTGACTGAATCGGATTGTGATATCGTTTGGTCGTTAAGGTGGGCAAGTATCTTTTCGTGTCGTGAACGTGATATGCACGCATTTCGATTCGTTAATCTTGATTCGTCATTTTTTTAACCAGTCTTGTATTTCAATTAGATTCGCTTGTAATTACCATGAAGCAGCTGCGGGGTCATTATTAGAGGCCAATATGTGTCATCTGCAAACGTAGCATTATCGACTTGAGGCATTGTAGATTGTTAGATTAAATAGAGGATGGGGCCAAGTACACTGCCTTAAGGCATACCTGCTCTGATTTGATGCAGTTTCATTGTAACATCCTGATATTTAATCAGAAAATGCCTGTCTTCCAAGTAGGATTTGATGATTGTGTAAAAGTTTATGGGTAGATGACGCTTGATTTTATAAAGAAGATCGATGTGCCAGACTTTGTCGAATGCTTGCGTTATATCGAGAAATACGGCAGAGAATTTTTTTTTCAAGACTATTATTGATTTTATTGACTATCCTATGGACTTGCTCAATTGTAACATGTCGCTGCCGAAAACCAAATTGATGGGTTGGAATCAATCCCTCCCTTTCGATGATTGGTAATAATCTATTAGAAGCAATCTTTCAAAGATTTTGGATAATTGGTAATAAACTTTGATAATTGGTAATAAACTGATTGGACGATACGCCGTAACTTCCTCGGGATTCTTCTCGGGCTTGGAGATCATGATGATTTGAACCCCTTTCCATTGGAGAAAGAAGAAGCTGATTCTCAAGATAGCATTATAAATTTGAGTCAAGAATTTGTATCCTATATTTGGCAGTTCTTTTAAAATTTTAGCTTATTAAGTCGTATATTATTAAGTCGTATCCAGGGCTCTTTTTAGAATTTAGGTCTATTAGGATGGTCTTTTTGATTTCAGAAACACTAAATTTCTTGATAGGTGAGTCAAACTGGTAATCCATACTCAGAAGTTGATGAATCTTTTCTTCAGTAAGTGAAATTTCACTGCTGTTAGGAATAAATTTCAAGGTGAGAGGCAAAGAGCTCGGCCTTGTCTTGATTACTTTTAGCTCAATCGCCTGTCACCGTACGTATTGGAGATATAGGGACCTGAGGTTGTTTTAATTTTTTAGTTGCTCTCCAGAGCGAGCCTTCGGTAGCCTTAGTAGCGCTAAAATTTCTTAAATAATTCTCTATTGCTAATTCCTTTTCTTTGGTTAGTATAGCTTTTATTTCTTTGGTTACTTTAGCTTAGTTTTAAGTTCAGGAGTCCTATATTTTTGTCATTCTTCCTAAGTTTACGTTTGATTGCAATTTTGTCCTTCACTATCTGGGAACAAGAGCTCTCGTTATCATAACATACTTTTGTTAAAGTAAAACTCCAAGCTGCTTGTTGTATGCAATGGAAGTGTTTAACTGCTAGAGTAATGTCAGTTTCGGTTTTCAAAGATAGCTTTATGTTAATATTATTTTCGAAAAGAGATCTGAAACTTTCCCAGTCAGTGCTTTTATTTTATATCGTCGGAGAATTTTCTTTTTTGGAAATTTGAGTACTCAGTGATATAATTACTGGAGAGTGATTAGATGACAATTCTAAACAAGATTCGGCATTCAAATATCTATTTGATATATTTTTGACAACGCATATATCGATAACATCCAGGATTTTCCTCCTGTCAGATGACCAATAAGTGGGTTCACCCATAGAGACAACCTCTAAGTTCATGGATGTTGAAGTTTTGTATAGTTCGCGTCCTCTAGGTATTGTCAATCTACCTTTTAAAAAAGATAAAAAATAATGCCAAGTTCACGCGTCCCTTTTCTTATTTATGTAAAAGAAAGAATTTTATACAAACATTTCTATCTACAAAAGTTTTTTTAATAATAAATTTCATGTTGGTACAAAAGATGTGATATGAAGAACTGGCGCCAACATTTAATTTAATAAAATAAAAAGAACTTTATATTGAAATACATTTTTTTTTGTAATTCATTTTTATTTGAAAAGTCGTTTCATTATTTCTATAAAAAACATAATATCAAAAATTGGCATAAACTTTTAATTATATAAAATAAAAAAGAAACTTTGCAAAAGTGAAAAAAGATGTTATCAATCCAAAATTAATATCAATTTGTAGTTGCCAAAAAAATTTTATTGAATTATTGTACTTGTGTTTATATAAAAATGCAATATAAAAGAAAATCTGATGTGTAAGAAAAAAAAACGACGTACAAAAACTTGGCGCGCTCACTGGTCGCATTAAAATATGTACATACACACTTATTGTATTATAAGCACTCTTACTGATATCTTTTTACATTAATAACGTATATATTACTTTTACAAATTATTTGTAAATAAATTTTTGTATATAATTTTTATTTATATATTTTTCTTTAACATTATATGTAAATATATAATATTAAAAAAAATTTATTAATAAATATTAAAACACATGCATTTATCCTAACATTCTAATAAAATAAATTCTTAAGTTTCTTGCATTATTTATGTAAAAAATGTTTCATTAATTAATAATTAATTATATATTTTACTAATTTTATTTAGTTAATATTAAAAAAGAAATAAGTTTAAAAATAAAATATCTTAAAATATATTAAATTTTAACGCAAACTGTTTTCTATTTGTCTGCCACATAATTCAGTGTTATTATTAAAAGTAGTATTATTATTAGTATTGTTGACGTGTTATTCTTGTTGACGTGTTATTTTAAACATGTTATTTGCGATAAATATCATCACATGCCTCGGTAGTCGAAAGGATAAGATGCCTGCCCGGTAAGCAGGAGATCCAGGTTCGATTCCTGGCTGAGGTGGTATTTTTTCGCAAAATAATTACGAGTTTTCACGACTGGTTCGTGGTCGGGCCCCGCCGTGACGCACACCCTCCCTTCTTATTCGGGGGCTCGAGCCATGCTTGATGCAATCTCTCCTGTCGTGCTCCAGGAGGATTATTTGTATATTTGCCAATGGCGTTGGAGGGTGTCGCCGCTGCAGTCCGACCTGCATCCATCGAGAGAATAGGACCATCATCTCTCTGGAGTACCGGTCGTGGGGATTCGAAAGAATACATGTATATATGTATATTGTAAT